TTTGCTGTCAAGGGGACACATAACCTGCTGGACAGTGTGGACAGCATAGATGCTGCGGACATATTAAAATACATTAATTGCAAAGGCATACTGTCATATAAACACGAGACAGTTTGTGTTTTGTTATGAGACCAGAGTCGATTATCAGGCCACATAATCTGCTGGGCTGATAATCAGGCAAACCCTAATATCAACCCCTAATTGTAGCGCAGTGTTGGATTCATACAATTTTTTTGCAACTCAAACTCTTCAAATACTTTCATTTCAGCCGTGGACTAAATACAGTATGTCAAGCCTCCCTATATACACTGTTTATGTGTTACGGTCCAGGTCACAGCTACGGATTAGGAATCGCAGTACAAACCATGAAAACCTGAATGCACACATTGTGGGATGAAGTGGCAGTTCAGGAGGCTGACATGCTTTCTGCACATGGTTCATTAGCTGTAACTCAGGTCATGCTTTGGATGTTCTGGGCCAGAGAGTTTTCAGGGTGAGTCATACACGTTGTTCACATTTTACACATCCTTACACTGGATAAAAAAATAGCTTTTTAAAATAGATATTTTTATTAGACGTAGCAAATAAAGAAACACAAAAAAGCATAAATGTGAATTATATCTTTTACGTGTAAGAAAATGCGAAATCATCCTAAAACAGACGGACAGCTCAATGTTTCATCACTGTCACGCAGTCTGTGTGTTAGATAGAGATCACAAGTCGCTCGGTTTTAGTACCACCGACACTGATCTGTGACACTGATGAATTATTGATGAGACCGTTCAATCAGGCAGCAGACTGATTTGAACAGGCTTGTTCAGGTGGTGTGGGGACATCGTCATACTGATTTTCTTCTCCTCACAGTTCAATTCGGCCCCTTTGAGCAAGCACAGCGCTCTCGCTGAGGCCAAGCGGTTTGCCCTCTGGACATATAGGACGCTCAAAAACAGACAACAGAATTACTGATTACTCATTGAACAGTTTGGAAGAAGAAGAGGTAATCATTGACAGCTGACAGCTGTTATCTGTCCAGGTTAGGCTGAGGTTAATGAAAAACTGCATTGTCTTTTCTTTTCTCTGCTGTTGGACTTCTGTGATGTTTAACTTGGATGGATGCAAAGATTCAGTCTGTAAGAGCAGCACAGCAGTTATTAATTGGATGACTGATTAATCATTTAAATTAACTGCTGCGTGAAATCCTTCAAAAAAGTTACAGATGGTCATCAACCAACAGTGTGGCACAGGCTAGAAGCAGCCTATCTAAAGCAGCGTTTATGGTCACAGTAATTGTGACATCATCATAACCCGGAAGGGGGGCTGGCATAGCTCTATGTTGGTTCTACACAGAAATTTGCAGACCCTTATCTACATGCTTTGCACCTAGTCTGAGGGCTACTCTTGCTTGGTCATGTTTGTGGTGTTGTTGTTCCTTTAGTTTAGCTCCTCCCACTAAGGAGATAATAGACAAAGATCTTCTTTATGGGGAAGCGAAACCAGGCATTAAAAATAATGAAAACTGTCCAGTGCGGCCACTGTTTGTGGTTCTCATGCTGCTTTTTTGATCTTTGATGGTGTTTCTCCCTCTTCCTAGTGAACTCCACTGTCACTCCTTTTCCTTTACAAGCCCACTTTTTCAACCAATCAGCATTTCATCTATGCACAATGTCAATCCTGAAAGACTAGGCACAGTTTTTTTTTTAGAGGACTGCATGGAAGCAAATCATCAGAGTCAATCCTTTACTCAGCATATCCTAATGGCAGCGCAAATAGACACAAATGCAATAGCTGGGAGTCACGTCACTCCCAAGTTGAGTGCCTTCCAACTAATAAAATCAGAAAAGTAAATTGATTATTAGTGTAAATTAGTGTAAACACTGATAAGTGTAAATGGTAAATGGACTGATTCTTATATAGCACTTTTCTACTCTCCCAGAGCACTCAAAGCACTTTATATAACATGCCACATTCACCAATTCACACAAGCACTTTCTCCTATGCTTTGTAAGTGCTTTCTACCTCACACACATTCATACTCCAATGAATGCACTGGAGAGCAACTTGGGGTCAGTGGGTTACTATCTTGCCCAAGAATATTTGGCATGCACATTGGGGGAGCTGGGGATCGAACCACGAACCTTCCGATCAGTAGATGACCCTAAACGAAATTAAATGTGTGTAATTAAATCTTCCAAAAATTTTTTATCATTCTCATAAACTTAGAATTAATCCATTAAAAATACACAGAAGCAGATACCGTTTTGTGGTATATACATTTGAGACGGAAAATGTATTTTCCGTCTCAAATACATTGGCTGTGATGGACATCGCTGCTCCGCCCAATCACATTTTATGCATATAGCTAGAGATCATCCCCATATATAGTATACCATAGACAGCGGAGAAAAGAACTAGACAACGTGCATATGACCAGAATGATATAAAAGTGGCTGATTTCACAGTGTTCATCAGAGTGGCAAACTGGGGCAAGAAACTGTGTCTGTGGCAGCTGGTTTTAGTAAACACCACTCCGTAGCACCTGCATGAAGGCAGCAGTTTGAACAATCTATGTTATATAT